AGTTATAAGTCACTAATCTCTTTCTTTTATAGCAAAGGGGGACAACATGTTCCGTCAGCTATACAGGTGTTTAAAGCAAAGATTCTCCTGGCACAAGTAAAGTACAAATATGTACATTCAAAAATACTGCAGCCATGGAAACTGTTCAAACAAAATTTCTTAGAATTGTTCTCAGCCTCCCAAACTGTGTGCCAAATGTCTTACTTAGGCTGGAAACTGGTTTAATTTCCATTGAAACACAAATATGGATATATAAATTAGACTTTTGGTTAAAAATGCTATTTACTCTCAAAGGTCTAGCCTCCTTGACTCTCTGTGATACATTCCAGTCAAGATGGAAAAAATTGGTTAAGGCAAAAGTGCAATCCCTAGGCTTCTCACAGTCTGTCATTATAGTCATGGGATATGCAAAAGACAAAGAAAACATCCTTCAGCACATACAGGACATAGAATTATAAAATCATATATGTGCAGCATCTGTACACTCAGTTTTCAAAGACAGTGGGAGAGGCTTTGTCCTCACTGCATACTTGAATAATCTAACCAACCCAAAGTATAGAAAGCCTTTACCTTGGCTAAATTTAATGTACCGTACTTCCATCGGCTCTATTAACAGGAAGATATAACAACAAGCCTCTGTGCAGACGCTTATGTCCTTGTGGGTCTAAGGAGGTAGAATCTGTGAGACATGTTTATTGTACTCTACTTTTTATTGGGGTCTGCAGTGTTGCTTTATAGCACCAATTTTACAAAAAAATACCAGGTAAACCTGATATATTTTATACTGATTATCTTTTGGCTGACTGGCAACCAAGGATCACAGCCAAGGTGGCAAGTTTTTGCATTGCTGCAATAGCCTGCCGATGAAAAATTGTGACTTAATTTTTTTCCCCAACTGTACATTATACAATGTTTTGTACTGTACTTCTTGTATTTTTTATATTGTATTGTATAATACTGTTCTACTTTATATTGTATTGTTTTTATATTGTGTATGCTGGTCACTGACTGTAATAAATTTATTAATTTATTCTCCTGAGGTTGAGGGCACAAGACTTGCCCAAAGTCCCAGTGGGTTTCATGGCCAAGCTGAAAATCAAACCCTGCTTTCAAGAGTTGTAGTCCAATAATCAAACCACTATGCCACAGTGACTCTCCAGGGTTGCTAGGAGTAGCATTTAAATAACTTATGGAGGGTTAAAAAATTTCCATCCCTGATCTGAAGATGTTAATCCTCACAATCCTCTAGTGATGATTCTCAGACAAGTATGTAAACTACAAAGGGAGGTGCATCAGATATAGACAAAATGCAAACATCACTGTGTGGTTCTGGTAGATAAATTGACTCTTACATGACTCCTGGCACAAGTAAAGTAGTAATAAATCAGAAAAGTTTAGTTGCCTTTGTGTGGATCCTGGCTGAAATAAAAACCAGCCAAGTAGAAGAAAGTGCAATTCATTATTTCCTAGCAAACCTGGTTTTGCTGTGGAATTACAGAATGAAGCGTGGCAGCTAAGAGAGATAGTATGGACGAGATTTGGTGGGTCAAGGACGGGTCCATGAGCTGGCCATTTTCCCAGTGCCACCATGCTTCATTAAAAAAGCCCTTAAATGAGTTATAAAGTATCACCATCCCCTGATTCTTGCATCTTTTCTTCTGAAACCTTTCGAGGAAAATGTGAGTCATTTTCATACAAATTATGAAATTATGGGGAGGGGGAGGAAGGAAGAGGAAAGTGTATCCTTCCTCTGACTTACACTGTGCAATCTCTCTTTCCATAAAAACTATATCACCTTTGTTGATTTCTTATCCACACTGAAAAATTATGGCAGTTTAATACTACTTTGCCATGGTGCCATCCTATGGAATCCTGGGTTGTGCGAGGTATTTAGAATTCTTTGCCAGAGAGCAATTGAACCACCAGAGCATTCTAAGTATCACCCCAAACTTCATGTCCTAGAATTCCTTAGGATGGAACCATCCTAACTAGTATCAAAGTGGTATTAAAGTGGTATCAAAGTTCTATACAGTGGGTCCTTGTTATCCACTGGGGGTTGGTTCCAGGATGCCCCATGGATAACAAAATCTGTGGATGCTCAAGTCTCATTAAATATAATTGCATAGCAAAATGGTATCCCTTATATAAAATGGAAAATCAAGATTTGCTATTTGGAATTTATAATTTAAAAAAAATATTTTCAAGCCATGGATGCTTGAATCCACGGATAGAAAAAAAGTGGATAAGGAGGGCTGACTGTAGTTCTACAGTATAACTACATCATGCTTCATAAGGAGCCTAAGGATTTGAGAGTGTCATTTTGGGGATATCATCCAAATGGAAAGGCTACTCATGCAGAAATATCTATTAATCTGAAAACTGCCACCATTACTTCCCTCAACAACAACAACAACAAGGCAATGGCTGCAGGTTTTTTCCTCAATTCTTAAATAGCAAAAAAAGGTATTGGCCAAGTACTTATCTACCAATGTACTTCAACCATAATGGGGCGGGGGAGAAGATGCTAGTCACTCTTCTCTAAGTCCTTTTATGGTGTGCAGCCTCAACCAGGATGGTCTCCCAATCACAGGTCTGTCCCCTCAGGTGTCCTTAGTTGTATAGATGCACCTGGGTGCATTCCATCTGTCCTTGAGCATCCAGGTAAGAAGTAGCAGTCTCTACCCAAGCATGTCTGCTTTTTCTTCTCTGGATAGTCAATGGCAGCTAGAACATCCTGAGACATGCTTCCAGTAAAGAGGTGCTTGATACTTTCCTCCACAATGTTCTCTGAATTCATATGCTGGCATACATAGCCAACAACATTTCTAACCATCAACTTTTGTTTTTTAAATCAAACCCCCAAGGCCATAGCACAAAAAGCCCTGCACCTATTTGTCTGCAGTTTGACAGAACTTCCAATCTTATGGGGCTACTATGCCCCCAAATTTTATTCAGTTTTGACAAATGAGGTAAAAGTGATAGACATTATTTTAAATTTCCCATTATAATCAATTCTTAATGTATACACATTACATAATCACAGAATTTTGATAAAGCTCTTGTTAGCATCTTATGGAATCCTGGGACTTGTAGTTTTGTGTGTGTGTATGTGCCTCCAACTTACCTGTCAACTTATGGTGCCCTCGTGAATTTCATAGGGTTTTCTTAGACAAAGAATCCTCAGAAGTGGTTTTGGCAGTTCCTTCCTCTGAAATACAGTCTACAGCACCTGAAGGTCTCCAATCCAAGTATTAACTAAAGATGACACTGCTTAGTTTCTATGATCAGACAGGATCTAGTGCCTTTAGGGTATTTAGTTTTATGAGATATTGAAATTTTCCAACAAAAACTCTGATGCTATAGTGACAGGGGGCAGAGTAGAGAATTCTAACTATCTTCCCAAATTATAAATTCCAGGATCCCATAGGAGAAAGTCATGACAGTTAAGCTAATATCAAACAGTTATAATAGTACAGTGCTGATATACCTAGAGTTGAATACACCACTACAGGGCTTGAACTGAATCTTATAGATATTGTTCGCCCTTAGTCCCCAATGTTTTTAAGAATTTCAGATACAGAACAACACAAGTGATGAGTGCATATGTGAATGTGTGTGAACTACCATATTTTCTAGCATATAAGACAACTTTTTAACCCCATAAAAACTTCTCAAAAGTTGGGGGTGGTGTTATACACCGGGAAGAGAGGCCAGGCCACCATTTTGTCTCCCCTCTCAGCCTGGCCGCCATTTTGTCTCCCTCCCCCTCCTCCTCAATGCACTCACCATGCTGGGTGAGACCCTCAACAAGATCATGGAGAAGGAGGAGGAGG